CCACATCAAACTACCTAAATTCTTTCAACTATCGTTTGCTTTTCGTTATCAAATCAACGAAGTTCTGATATATACAGTAGTTTGCGGGCGCGAACGATACCTTGGGGAGCCTGAAGTTCAAAATTCGAAGCTGAGTTGAAGATTAGAATTTGATTCGTACTACTAATTCGAAAACTATGTATTCGTTAATAGAGTACTAAGGTATGGAATATTTTGCTAGTGTGATGAATCAGCATGTTTTTGAAAATGGTGATTAACGATTCGGAGAAGCTTGAAAAAAAATTAGCTCTCAAATAGCTTACGAAAAATAACGACAGTCATCGTTAATCGATAGTGCTACAATAAGTTTTAGCAGAGAAAATCGTTAATGAGTACCACTGGCACAATAACAAGCTTCATTATTGATGGATTAGCAACATGCTCACTATGCTCATCAACACACTACAATATGGCTCCAGCAAAAATGGACGATAAGTATTGTGATGCAATAATTTATAAGATGAAGTGCATAAATCCATCATGAATGTAGCTTACTCAGGCAACTAAAGCTCGTAATATGATACACTCGAGCAAAGCTCTTAGTTTAAAAATGTCGATTTTGCTCGTTAAAACTCAGTCAACTATCTATCTGATCAAATCAGAGCTAATATACATCTGTCACTTTTATGCGCGCATAAATATCGCTACCTCAGCATAACACCTTCAATTGCTCAAAGCCTTCATTCATTCAAGGTAGTTTAAGTGATGTTAATGTTTACAATTAACATTCAGCCAGATGGGTTGCGAGCACGAGCAATGAAGCAACACTTGAGCAGTTAACATTGAATATATCAACAATGGTAATGCAGACTGAATCTGGTGTAAAAAGAGCTCTGCTCACATACAGCCATTGAACATCCTTCACGTGCCGAATTTTGGAATTTGTTTACAATTCTGTATTTTCTTCTGCTGTTTGAGTAGTAAAAGTTCACCCAGTAGACCAGAAAGATGGGAATCTGAGCGATAGCGTCGGGATGCTCGAGGCATTTGGAGCCACTGATTAAGTAACGCTCACAGCAGCCGACTCTCCATCAACGTCAAAGAGAACTTGTTGAATGCCAAACTGAATGCAACAAAACATCCATTTCAAAAATTAGGGCAGCACTTTTCAAACTCTTAGTGTGAAAGAACCATGTGCTGAATAGATAACTTGTGCGAACATTCAAATATTACACCGTTCCATAGCAGCAACGCTGTTTCCGTTATCAAAATATTTCACGGAGAAATTTTCATATTTTAGCTCGTTCCTGACATGTCTATTAATTTCTTGCTCACTTCGATGTACTTTTNTGATTTTTGAAAATTAATATTCAATGCGTTCGTAAGCGTAAGTGACCAGGCGCCGTTATATTAAACTAGACCTATCTTAATCGAATCCTTTCAAAGCGTATCAATTACTTCAAAAAGTCAGGTTACACTCACCAAAAAGTCAGGTTACACTCACCTGAACATAACTTTCATACTATAAATTGCACTGCAGAGCGAGGGCCCAATTTGCGATTTGAATTTGCGGACATCTAAATTGCATTAGCGTTGCAGCGCCCTTCAGTAAAATTCTTTTGGGTTTTTGAAGAGAACACTTCTGAAGTATGGATTCATCAAAATCGAGCTATGGACCCTGAATGATTTAATAGTACACTCGATCGAAAGACTTAAGAGGCCAAGCTTGATTCTTGAATAATTTCTAGGTGACATTATGTTTTATGTGAACTAGTGCACTTACGCTCTAGAATTTACAAACGCTTCGAAAGTTTCAGCTCATGTGATTTTCCATGCATGAACTGCGTTAACTACAACTGACGCAATCTTAAATAAATCATTCTGAAACGATTCAAAATTTGGTACTCCTGTAGGCTTATGCATGAATTGTTTTGTGTAGTACGATATTCGGATTAGTGTAGGTAATGTTCAGCTTCAAAATTGCCTTTGAGTGCATACACTTCGTTGTTGTGATGCTTTTTGATCGGATCAGATAGTTTTCTGCAATCAACACAAATTTATGGTAGTACCAAACAACCGATTTGATTCGGGAAGCACACTGATCAGAATCAGAATTTTTATAGGCAGAGTGTTATTGACTGTAATTCGTTCCCATTACATCCTGCCCACAATCCTGTTTTGCGCTTCGTCTGTCTCTTTGTGTTACATATTCCATTCGATTAGTTTTATTCACTCCAAAATAAACTGTCACGTTTCGTTATCATTCAGTTCATCTGTTTTCAGTTCAATTCACTTCAGTGTTTTGATCAAGCAGCTCAACATGACCCTATCCGCAGCTCAGTGAACATATCCTTCCGGAGAGTTTTCTTGAGTGCTACCTTTATAGAATCCTTGTTATTTGTCAATATAAAATACCGATACTCCTGCAGCATTTTTTAAATTCTGTTTTGTTATTTTAATTTCTAATGATTATTATTGAAATTAAGCAAAAATTGATTGCACTGCAATTTTCAATAGCTCCACGAAATTGAAGACTGAACTCAACGACGTTTACAGTTGAAGGTATAATTCGCACGAATGAATGCTTGTTAGCGACGATGAATTTCCATTGAAGCAAAAGCTAAAAACCCATCAATGCATCGAATTCATTTGAGCGACGAATCTGCTAATTTAAAATTTCTTGGAATGGGATATTGATGGTGTATCGTGAATTTATGTTATCGCATGTAAAACATAAGTATTTTCCGAATGTGAGAAGTTCGTGTTCGGTATGCGAAATATTACATCATGTAAAAAATTGCAATGCAACGCAAACAAATCGTTCTGACAGCTGCATATTGTCAAACAAATATTCTCCCAAACCCACATGTTAAACAACTTTTCAAAATGCATTTGACAAAATCTTTACAAAACTCTCGCTCTCTTTTATATCACATCAAAACTGATGACATTCAGTTCTCGGAAAATAAAATTTTGCTTCGAAACTTTTAATTGGCGTTCGTTTTGCGATTTATGTGCGTGCTGCTTTATTATTTTTTGTCGTTTTGCATTCAATGTAATATTCCATCAAGCAAATTAGTTTTTCGAGCGGTCCTAAAGTTCTTTATGGTCGAATAAAAATTATTTATTGCAGTCGTTAGTGAAAGGTTGTAACCACTGTGCTTAGGCGATGTGGTTTATGCAAGTTTATTTATTGAGCTATTTTCAAGCTGATATGAGCAAATCTTTTGTGCATCCGTGAATGCCGATGCGCTCATGAAAAATAATTGATGTGTGGCTTTAACCTAGGAAGCAATGCCATCGATATTCCCCACTAATATATGGGTTTCTTGTGAGCGCATCATGCTTTGATCTAAATAGGTCGTTGCAATAGCCATTACTTGCAAAACTGAACAGCCACTATCTTCAAAATATAAAAAATGCACATACACGATACAATTCAAGCACTCATCCACGTTCAGCATTCAGTGGCAAGTCAGTTTGACTGGTGGTTGCTCATGCTGTCGTCGGTATCACCAGGCTGCTCATATGGTCTGTCTGCTACTCACTGTCCTTGATATACATCCTTGTGGTTACAGTATACCGTAACAGATCCACATCTGTCATAACCGCATCAATAACAACAATCTGTCATAACATTACTTCAACTGCCACGACTAACACTACTAAGAATACTACTGCTATCAAATTTCTACAGCTGACTCTTCATCCTCTCGCTGATCTCCTTCGTCGTATGTAGCGCAAGCGTAACTTCCCACCAAACTGTAGTCAGCTTGTTGTGTTTTCGAGTAGCATTCCATTTACTGTTGTATGCGGATCAACTCTTCCTGCCTCAGTGAAATTCTGATGATTGATTTTTTGTGCCATTTGTTCTACTAAGCCGTTCGGAAGTGCACGTTTCGCTAAGGAAGTTTTTAACGATCCCACCACGGAATAATGCTGCAATCAGCCAATTAGTTCTACCCTAATGTGATTATTAATTCATTGCATAAATGTCATAAAGTGTAATAAAGTGTACCTCATTAAAAGTCTGCACAAAGAGAGCAGATCGCTTTTTGCAGAAGGTCGTAACAACCGAGTTGTTTTATCATCGCATTATGAGCCGTTAAAAAATGATCAGATGTCGCTGTTGTTTAGCAAGAAACAGAAGAATGCGTTTCCGTGACGGATAACAGATGAACACAACGCCCTCGATTTCAAAGCCCATAAAACGCGGCATTATTGTTTTGTATGAACTTCGAAGTGATCACCTCGACACTCTCACGGTTAATGGAACCAATAAGATTTTAATAGCATGTGCATTCCTGATCAGAATTATTGATTTTTATACTTGGATGAGCCAGCAAAAAACATTGTGAAAGACAAGAATAGATGAAATGATAGGATAATGTTCGATGTTGCCGAACGATTTTCGTTCCAGAAATACATTGAGGGCAACTCTGGAAATTCCATGTGCATCATTTTCCATTGAGTTCGTCGTCCCATCTGAGAGAGATAATTGCATTTTGGTATCGATGAGCAGAAAGCAGTGGGTTTTGTTGACGGCAAATGCCAACTATCTCTCATGATGACCTATTCAAGTGAACACAGTGCAAGTGGAACTTTTTTGATGGCGTTCAATTAGCATATCCATCTCTTTAGTGCACATTTATTTCGATAATAATTCGATCGTCACCTGATGATGTTAAGTCTTTTCTGATGATTGTGCGTTGATTGTTAGTGCTGTTCATCCATGAATCACTTCAGGTGATGCTCTTTTTCATATATTCTTCGTTTTATGAACGCATTCTTGCTCACCTCTCAAATATGTATATCGATTTGTTTCTGCCTAATGAATCCTTATCGAGAACGATAAATCTTATTAGCACATCTGCATGGTTGGTTGCACCAACACAGAAAGCAATTTCATATGAATGGACTATAGAGTAATTCAAAATGTTATTCCAAGTAGCAGTTTAACATTTCTTTGGGATTGATAACATTTTGAAGAGTTGGACCGGCGATGGAAGTGCCGACGAGCGATGTGTCTCGGCTATGCAGTGCATATGTTCGTTTTTCAAGAAGGATCCGTTATCGTTGAAAGATTTTCAGATCTGCTCGAAACACATATATAGCTTCATTCAGAGATTTGGACTATCAACAGGACTTCACAGGAACGAATTCTGCAAGCAGCATTCAGTCTCTAACATTTACTGAATCGCTTCGGAGCAATACACAGCCAGAAGCGAATATGGCCTCGAAGATACACTTCCAAAAATCAATTGAGTGTAGTCAACCCGCAATGCTCAACCAACAAGAGTTGGACCATGCGATGGAAGCATTCAACGGAGCAAATTTGTCCGAAACGCCTGAAAATTTCGTTGTGGTTAACGAAACATTCAAAAAAACATCAAATGCAGTGGATGAAGCAGGAGCGTGCGATTCAGCAGATACGTGCGAACCCAGCAAAACGTGTGATAGTTTAAATACGCTTACTACCTCAGACTGCTGTGATACATCAGGCATCGGTACAGCCTCAGACATAAGCGAATGGTTAGACAATCAAAGTAACTTGAATGCATCCGAGCAATTAGATGTCTGCAATGGTTCAAACAAAGAAGNAGAACCGCAAAACAGCAATTCGCAAATACCGAAGCTGCCAGAACGTGAAATCATGAATGTCAAAGAGAAAATATCGCATGGCATCGATATTAAAATGCTTTCGAGTATTCGACAAACGACGGCATCTCAAAGTATTATGCAGAAAAATAGGGTGATCGACAGTGACAAGAACAAGAACGTTGGAGCACCGAGATCAGGAAAAGGTTCAGAAAAGGTAACAACTCTCTTCTTAATCAACACTCATGTGCCTTTGCAAGCATTTTTCTTGGAAAAGATAGTCCACATTTTTTTGAAAATTATTTCATTGTGTCAGCTGAATTTCCGAAAGCTGTCTCATAATATCATTTAAAAAACGGGGTGATACGGCAGCAATGCTGATGTTTGGCCAAAGTCACGTTTTCGATCGAATGTGAGACATTAGAATAGAATTTCTGAAGGTTTGTTTGTATTCAATCTGCTGAAAAAAATATTTAAAAGAAAAATTTTCGGTTCTGCTTTATTATTTTCCGGCATTCAATCAAAAATGTTCTTTCCACATTTTCAACTTTCACATTATCATTAAGTTGTTGGATTCCATTCTACAATTTCTCACTTTTGTAAAGTTTTACCATCAAATTACTTCCTCTGCGTGCTGTATACATTCGCGAACTTTTTGTTGACAAGAGCTATATTCTAGACTTTTTTTGCCGTCGTTACGATTTAGCAAACCAGAATTTCAACAAATGCAATATGGTTGTTGTTTCGTTAGAAAATCTTGCTGCAACGATACGTTAACCATTGAAGAATTGTAACAGCGATGAATTTTTGGCTACCTAAGATTCTAGTTTTTGTTGCCAGTTGATTTTTAATGTGTATATTATTTCTTGCGTAATTGTGAGATTTTTTCTTTTTTAGAGTGATTTGTCATTTGTCATTTTCTTGTGTTCAATAGCCAAAAATTCTATACCAGTCAGACTGCTGTACCTTGAGCCCTACGACGTATGAAACTAAGTGAGAACTTGAGCTGCAGCTTGAGTCCTTGATAGCTTTCTTATTCCAGCTTTTTGTTTGCCTATCTGGTGTATGAAAACTTTCAAAATAGATTACTTGAACAACAAACCAATCAGTTTTATGATTTTTCAATTCATAAAATTCAGTGTATTACGACACCGTTGACGGAATTCAGTTCGAGCACTGTTCCAGTAACCACAACTGGTAGGTGTCTTCCATAAATTTTATCGAGAAATTTTTAAAAACGGAACCAATTCATTGATTCAGCAATTCAGTTCTGTTTTATTATTTCTGACTGTATCAGTAACGTGAAATTTTCTAAATCTGATTTCGCCTTACTATATCTGAACAACTGGTAAAAACAATATAGAGAGGTTATCGGTTGCAGCGATTGTTCTTTCATCGGTTAATCCTTCATTTTCGGTTATCCACAGAACCATATAATGCCCTTTTCAGAGACAAATTCATCAAAAACGGATGTTAACAGAAAGAATCCGTCGTGCATATGTGATAGACCAATCTGCCATGTGCTCTGCTTGGGATGTCGAAAGTACTTTCAAGGGCATGCGGTGCGCACATGCCCTGATCATCCGAGACGTATCAACCTCATGGATATCGCCGTTTGCCCGAACATCAACTGTCGTGGCACGGAATTGCAGGAACGATCCTCAACACCATCACCTGTTCAGGATATGGTAAAAAGAGACCTTTANTTAAATACAGGCAAACTATCTCATCTGGCATCCTCATGGTATGCCTTTAATTAGGTTGCAGCTTCCTTCATATTACAACGTCGATGTAAAACACAACAGGGATAGAATGGTGAAGGAAGTTGTCACTCATCGCATTCAAGTTGATACTTCGAATAATCAACAAAATGTCAACGCGATGGAATTCGCTTGATATATTATTGTAATCATATAGGAGAATGAATCGAACTTGGAGAAAGTGACGAATGAGGAGGAACAACGATATCAACAAGATGCTAAAATGGGGAAGTTGGCGTAACCGATGAAACAATATGGAGCAGACAAACATGTGTATGTATATATCATTTGAATGTGCGAAAATAAGATTTTATTGTTCAGTCAACGAATGTTAACGCTGATTTTACTGATCAGTGTAAAGTGCGTAATCTAAATTACAGACAGAAATTCACTTTAATTATAAAAACCTTCCGAGTTTGAGGTATGCGATCGAATTCAGTTGCTTTACGCACCAATCGCTCACATGAATCATCAGCGATCAATGGAGCGGTTTCCAATGCTATCACTCTGCTTTGAACAGAATTTCAGCGAGAAGAAATCACTAATTGATCATTAAAATGTTAACATAATCACTGACTGCTATTCAGTCATCCATATGAAAAGATCTTCAACGATGACTGCGTATACATTATTTTATCATTAAAATTTCCGGTTGGATGACATTATAGTGCAGCAAAGAAACAGAATAAAAGGAAATAAAAATCCGAATCCGAATGAATCCGAATAAAAAAGAAAACAACTGAGCAGTGGATGTGTCATCATTGTTTAGTGCGAGAGTTCGTTCGTTGAATCGAAATCGCTTTACTTTGAAGGGGTTGAGACTTCACTTGGCTGATTATTGCTGCGTTCAGTTTGTACTGTTCCAGTCAGTAATTTCGGTAGAATAAAATTTAATTTGCAGTATGTTCGGGTTAGCGCAGGCGTGAATTTGAATATTATACGAGACAAATCTGCAGCTGCCTGTAAACAGTTTTTTGGCGACTTAGCAAACCAGCAGTTCACTATGTGTTGAGAATTTTTATGCATTTTCTAAAGCAAACATCTCCCTTCCACTAAGGAAATGCTCTGTTCATTGAACCACTCGTTGAGATCAATCAGAGTTGATGCGGCAAGCCATTGGGCACAGCTGCAGAATTAATGTTTTTCTGAATAAAGCAGTTTTATGACTGCTGGAAACACCGCGAATCGCAAAGTCAGGCAAGACTCTACTCAATGAACTTCACTGGATATGCTTCTTTTATCGCCTAATTCTAGGGAAGAACATTTATTTGTTCGTGCATTTCTGAGCATGCATTCGAAAAATTAACATACACTGGCATTTATTGGTGGAGTGGTACTGCTAGGTACGGTGAGGTGTTCGATGAGCACTTTATGTCGTCTTCCGGCAAAGTCGCTCACTTCACGGGGCCAATGTTCTTTGGCCGGGATGAATATTGTCAGTTCATCGCTGCCTTTTGGCGATAAATATCCATGGCAATAAGAAAATTGTGGAAATGAACGATCCTCAAAATCGTCCTTTTATGCACTCATCAATAAACTCAAACCGAAACTACTCGTCAACAACTAAAAAATCTCGACACTTTTGATTTTTTATAAGCATTTGCTCAACGTCCATAATGAAGTGCTGACATATTCCTCAATCTTAGGTTACGAATGCTTCGCAAGACTTTTTTGCTCTGCTTTCGGCCAGTTACTATGACATTTAGACTTGCTGCTCTCAACATCGAGAAATGATGTTTTGTTCGAATGATTGCTGCTTCATCCGCAGTGTCGTGCTTATTTTAAAAAGCTTGCTGACGCATTTGAAACTGATCGCATTTATAATTTGTAAAAGACTCTCAAAATCACAGAAAGAACTATGAAAAAATTATGAGAAACCTTAGTCCTAATCCGATAGACAACTGGAACTGATTCATTGTTCTGAATCATAAAATGAGCATATTGTGCTTTTGTGTAGTGGTTATCCGCGGAAAAAACCAACCATCTGAAAAGTTTTGATCTAATCTGAAAATTCAATCTAGAGCATTGGGTTAAGCTGCTAAGAAATTTTATAATGATGACGTGCAAATTTAAATCAGTTGATAGTACCATTTAGTGTAAAATTTCTGGTGAACCAAGTCACAAATGATAAACCTCTGTCTTTCAATGTCAGCTGATCAAACGAAATTTCAGTGGCATTTCTTCTAATTGCATTCAAGTTTGAGCGCAACGCTTTGCGCGCTCTTCAATAACTTCAAGAGAAATATTCACCAACCCGGGTAGCAGTGTGAGTTCGTAATCCGGTGTGCCACCACACGCTTGTTTTACCGACACTTTTTTCGGGATAGGTAAATAGAAAGAAGAAGCCATATCGGAGGATGTTCAGTGCTCACAATGAAGCCCGTTGGGAAAATTTATCATTAGAGCGAGAAGAATTGACATAGGCAAATTTATACCTCAAAACTGACATGTTGCTGCTTTCAGATACTCAATGAATGCAGTAATTTTGCTATAAGACCAGCTCGTTCCACATTCTTTTCCTGCTTTCTTCACAATTTGCAAAAGTTTTTGAAATTCAAAGTGTCGGTTGCGTCGGAAGCAGATGTGTGTGTAAACGAACTTTCAGTAGACGACGACGTCAATTCAGTGGCCAATAAGTTTGATATTAATCTTCTATCTACAATGAGTCAACTTCTTGTGGTCAAACGAGCATTTTAAAAAGTTGGGAACAGATATGAGAAAGCAGTCTGCATTACAGTGCCAATCACCTCAATCCACTTGATGTCATCAAGATTCCTCCCAAAAGAAATTCCTACCCTTTCCTCGTTCCCTCCAGTGAAAACCAATGTTGTATAAAGTGATACTCCTTGAGTTTGTCCCACTTCCAGATATTTCTACAAGATGACATTTCCACTGTTGTTCAATCACTTGAATAAGGATCTGATGTACTACTAACACAGTGTCTGGGCACTCCGATAAACTTATGTCACAGTCCAGTGAAATTCTTTCATTTTTTGAATACACTGCTCTTTCTTCGAACGTATATCATCGTAACCCAAATCAGTTCACACTTATGTTTGAGACTGATTAAGAACCGTTGACATTCAACAAATCTTTCAAAGACTATACTGCAGTTCTATTCGTTTTATAATCTACTCACAATAAGATGCGAAGTCTTTCTTACCTAGCGTTTATGGTACTGAATCGTTTATGGTATTTATGAGAAGTCAGCCAGTTCTTTTGTATCAAAAAATTGCTTAATATTGAAGAGAAATTGCGTGCGGAATACAAGTGAATGAAGCTGAGAAAAGAATTTAAAAAATTATGCTGCTTCACGGAAAGTTATGCTGCTTCACGGAAAGCTATGCTGTTTCGACGCCACGATTACCAATTTTAAAGCAAAATTAACTAAAAAACAATAGCAGTAGAGCGATTGATTGCAACTGATTAACTTATCAAATAAATTATCAGTAACTCTTGATTCAGCGACGTCATTCGCACAGAAACGCGACCAACAAAAAGTGATCAAGAGATGAAGAGTGAATATTGCTGAAGGAGCTCCATACCAAATGATCCTTAGCCGATGAAATCAGGGTGCTGAAGAGAATAATAAATTCTGTTTTGCGAAGTTATTTTAGAACAATTTCATAAGGTACCTAAAATGGGAGTGAATGGATCAAGTTGAAGTCAAATCCGCAGCCATCAAAGTGATTTTGGATAACTGTTTGAAGAATAGATCGATATGCCAAAATTGATCGCTCGATTATTGGATCGGATAGAACTCTTAATAAATTCAGTGCAACCGGGGTAATTCAACGATCAGTTAAAGCTAATCGTAAGAGCGTGAAGCAATCAACAAATACAGTAACCAACCAAAAATCGCTGAATTGAACGTGTTAAGCAAAAAGAGAGAAGCAGTGCCAAAGAAAACTTCATCAAAATTGTGCAAAAGATCACAAAAAAACCTGCAAAATATTTCAATTTTGCTATTCACATCAGATTAAACTATTTTCGATGTACCTGAATGTTGCTGGAAGGAAATGGGAAATTTGCTCTGAGATTGCTTTTATCTCCTGTTTAATCGTAGTTAATAAGAAAGGCAAAACTCCATCTGCAAAAAACGTTCTCCCGATATTTCCCGAAGTACCAAAGCAAATATCATTCTTTTACGTTTGATTTCTCAGTTTTTAATGAAGAAATGCAAAGAAAGCGACGAAGTATGCTAGAATATAGGAAAAATTGGAGAAAATGACTTTAACAATGAATACCTGACAATGACTTGGAAAAAACCAAATAAAATATGAATATCAATGAAGCTCATATGGTGAGTGTAAAAATAGTTTCCAAATGGCAATTGATTTATACCCGCAAATACGATATTCCTTTATAAGTGCCATCATCATAGCGTTCATTCTATACAGTTGATTGATAATATTCGTCTCAATAACAAACACTGAGGTTCACACCTATTCAGCATCACCTTATCATCAACAATTTAAACAATCCATTTGAAACTAATTCCAGCATTCAACATCACTTCAACAACATCATGATATCACTTTTTCATGTAACAATGCATATTTTGGCTTATTAGCACCGATATATGGAAAATGATATCTAAATGGAACTTCTGCAAACATTTTTCATATCATTTGGAGTAATGCACCCAGTTTTCAAAAAACTATCATATTTAAATTTCAACGTTTCGTTTCGAATTCGATGCCACTTCTGTTTCCACTCACAAAGATTTGAAGAAATCAGAGGTAAATTGGACGTGAAAGAACATAGGTGGGGAATGATTCGTGGTAATAACTTCTAACGGATTTACAGGTCTTTGGTGATCAGTTTTGAACTCATACTATAAAAATTGATGATCATAATGAAGCGTTTATGATCAAATACAGTTGCATCTTCAGAAACCAGCTCGAGAATGTCAGAAACAATTCCTCTTCGAGCATATAAATGCGCAGTTTTCATAACGAAAGCGTCGGCAATGTGCGCAACTCAGCAGTCACGCGAGAACTTGAGGTTGGGCAGCTGGAAAACACATTTTTCTTTCGGGTCAGTACCGAGTTTAGGTCAGGTCTTTCTCTGAACGTCAGCAGTCAAGAAAACAAGTTCTTTAAAAAACAACAACTCTCAAAAAAATTTCTCGCACTCAACTGAACGACTTATCTTACAAACAGCTAAAGATCGTTGCATGTATGGAAACTGAACAAGTTTGACAAAGCCGTATTGTCTATAACGCTACTAACAATAGTAATAATAACAGCGATGCACGTGTTATCAAGAGAGTGAAAATAATGTTGACGATTTAGTGGATACATTTGTTGTAGATGATCGACATATTCGTTTGATGCAAAAAATATAGACAACGATTGTGGTAATCGCGACGAGAATATTCACTGATGTGAAAATGATGTAAAATAATGCAGGATATGTCAATTTGTGCCGCTTATCAGTGTTAATTACGCTGTCGTAACCAATATCATTCGAACAAAACGATGGTGAACTGTCGAAAACATTTAATGGTTTCGTGAAAACATCCAACGTAGAACCGCTTTCGATTAGACGATCTGTTCGCAGAGCATTTCGCCTGAGACGTTCGTGATCATGATGGTGATGACTCGCTAATGTTTCTGGACATTTCGGCGGTGTCAGTTCCTCGCATCCTCCATCATACTTGATACACAATGTTACCTGAAATTAGATGCAGTTTATGTATCATTTTATAAATTCGCCAGCAGCGTCGCAATATTCTCATCGTACTCATTTAGTGATTGTGCATCACTTGATTCATTTTATTCTCCATTTCTACAACCGTTCACTATTCATCATTGTTTTCCATTCCCCTTTTTTCAGCCTCCAAATGAAATTTTGTATGCAGCTTCACACAGTGAAATTGCATGCAAAAACCTTTTGAATGTTCGAAAAACTAATTCAACGCATTCTCATTTTATAAAATTCGTTCAGATGATATTGTTATGGATTGTAATTGAGTTATATTATTAAATATTTTGAAAGAAGTGTTTAGAACCTGGCACTGAAACTGTAGAACTGGTCTGTCAGCGTACTTGAATACATGATAAGGTTTCGTTGCGATTCGTAGAGTGTTATCATAATCAGGAGTTGACAACAATACGGCATCCATGCCACATCTGAATTTGGTTTTGTTAGATTGATTAGAATCGGAATGAACGTGATGGAAAGAGACATCATGTTTGGAGCGTTTACTCAATTCCAATTCATAGGACTACGAACAAACTGTACGCTTATCACTCGACACTGTACTCATAATCAAGAATCTCCATTCATCAATAAATTGTAGCAGTATCATATTTCAATGGTCCTAAAAAAAACAAAGTACTAAGCCAATTAATAATATGAGGCAACGAAACTGAACAAGAAAATGAATACGTATATTTGGGACACATGTTGAATATGAGCTGAAAAGGAATTCGGAAATATGAAGAATGATAAGATCAGGATGGAAGGCCTTCAACTCAACAAGAGATGAACTGAAAACAATCTGGATAAATTTCTCTGCGTGAATGTCTACGATAGCACCCTCCTAGCAACGCTAATTCACGAAAGTAAAAAACGTCGGTTACAACCAAAAAAAAANAAAAAAAAACAACGATGTCTGATGATAGCACAACCGACGACGGGGTGATGCTTGTTAGGAACACTGCTGTGGAAGCATGCTCGATGCGAGGAGCCTTGCTGGAGAAATGAAGTGCAAGACAAGATGAAAAGCATAAACTGCACTGGGCAGGCTGCAGAGCACAGGTAATACCAACAAATGGACTCGTACAGTTGCTGAGTTGTGCCCCAGAAAACGGAAAACAATTCTCGAGAAACTTCCAAAAAGATGGAGGAACGATACAGAAAGAGAACTTTGGAAAGACTGGCAGTTCAAAGCAAGGTCGATGACTGAATGGAATCGCACTGTGACGGGCGACGTTAATCTAAGTAAAAAATCGGATTTTTTGTGATAAATTGGTGGAGTTCTAAAACGCGTTGAATATCAGTTTTCTACGAATATTTTCAACAATGATGGTTTTCTCAAACGATCTTATCTTTTCAGAAGACCATCATTGTTGAATAAACATAGAAATGAAATAGATCAACACATTTCCAACGACGATCGAAAACTAAACGAACCCATTTTTATCGAGAATATCAACGCGATCTCCATATCCATTATCCACATAACATGAATGAATCAACATTCCGAACGTATCCGCTGAATCGACACATTCCCAATGATGATAGATACTCTCACCGATTGACGCAAATTCAGCGATTGGACCATCTGCTGACCCACGCCTCAATGTGTACTCACACTTCGGCATCTCGTACATCCTCTCACGAAACTGCGTCGTTATCATGCTGAATCCATTGAAAATTCATTATTGGAAGGCAATGCGATTCATTTATTACTCGAATGAATTCCTCCATACATTGTAGTTNTATTGTAATTGATTCCCAAGTTCGAGAAACAATTTGTGAAATAAAAACATTTGACCGCAAGTTCCATAGCCTAATGAAGGCATGCAGAATGTAATTTGATCATAAATTTCATAGAACAAGCAAATAATTGAATCACCTGACTTCCAGAGGTACTGAAACAGTTTTATCAGCTTCCATATAAAAGCACTGTACCTTAACCGTTTGGTCCACTTTGGTCATGAATCTATAAACAACATCATTTGAATATGACTCATAAGGAAAGATCACAACTTACCCTGACCTTTTGCGACGAGTTACATATCGTCTTGTAAGCATTATACATCATTTCTAGCATATTCGTGATCAACTAGAGGGCTCGACAAGACGATAGATAACTCGTCTTGAAAGCACGGGTTAAGTTTATGATTTATCTCTTTAGCGAAGTTTAAAAAGCAAACTTTGAATTTAGAAATGAATCTTAACGAAGTTGACACCAAAAATTTATTGACTCGCAATCAAAGAACAACTATTTTAATCAAATTCAGCAACAATTTCAGAATATAACAATGGAGCTCAAAAGGAAACTTCAAAATTCAAACATACGTCGTATGAAACATGAAAACGACAGTCATCTCAACGAAAATACCTCGAGGATCCAACTGAAACTCATATCTCATGTTGTCTCAGCACAATGAATGAAGTCCTTCTTGAGTCAAAAAAAACCGAACGTCAGTTATGAACATTTATCATCTACTAGCAATCCAATGAGATGAATTAGTATTTAATGAACAACATTCGAAGAAACATTGCACATGAATACGCTCCGTGAACAAAGTCAACCAAATCTCTCAATTAATGATAATCACTGAACAATGTAGATCAATCTCCTCACGGCCCAGATAAATGTAATGCTGGATTAATGATAATCTAAGTGAGGATCATGATCAATTCAAAGTTTCAAATAAACGACTGTTAAAAAAAGTATGTATGAAATGAAATGAACGTGACCATACCGATCTATATCGATGAACGTTACAGTCATTGAACGAGACTGTAATGCCAATACTTCTCGGATCAGGGAACATTTCAGGTCCAGCCCGACATTCCTCACGATGAAAATGGTCCATCACAAAAACGTAGCCATCGAATGGTTTTTTTGTTGATGCTCTCACACCAATGTGATCCGATCCACATATTATATCTGGTGTTCCCGGCCCTAATTGTGAGTAGGTTAGAAATTCACTTATCTTCGAAATGGGAGTATCGCACTTTTCCCACTGAACCAGTATTTATTTTTCTTTTACTTTAATTGCATTTATCAGCTAATTCAAATTTACTTTTTGAACTAACGATAGGAATAAATAATTCTAATCAGTTTTATGCTTATTACAAGGTAAATAATGCCTTGCAATAGTGAATACTGAGATGTTCGTTTACAACTGAAGCAGATAACGTACGAAATTCTGTTTTGCACATATCCCATGTCAGTGAATCAGCAATCGATTTTTCAAGTTCTTCAAAAGTTTCGACCGTTAGAACCCTTTGAGGATTGCCTGCTATCTACAATAAAGTCGAAATATCCGTTGGTCATTATTCGTTCAACTGATAGGTGAACATTCCATTATTATATACATACAACAATTGTTCCAATATTTACATTTTCTTTAACGGCAATATCAAAACGAATTATGATTTGTTGAGAGAAACGGATAGTTTCATAGATAGAGGCAATCAGTCAGTCATTACTGTCTGATTAGAATATCAGATCAGTTAGAATAATAATGATCAATTCGATGGATCAAAATAAGAGCCAAATGATGCCTGATGTAACTGATGAACATTGACGAGATTCGTCACACCGATTGCGTAAACCAATATGTGAGCATCACGAAGCTGTTGCGATATCTCTGATACTGGATCTTGTGACTGACCATCGGTGACGACAACAACCACCTTTGGAATGTCACCTCCTCGAGCGTCCTTCATTGTTTATTATCATTTCATTTAGTGTATATTTGAAGGTTCTTTCACAGGATATCTTGGTATCATAGCGATGTTATAAAATATCGTCACCAATGTAGGTTTGCAAAGGAATATCAGTCTGTCATGAACTCATCATATTCAAAGGCAGTAGTTCTCACACTCTCGCACTTGGTACTCCCTTTGGTTTTATGGCAGACCAACATTCTTACATCCAACAATCCAGATGACCGCACTTCCTTCCCCTCCTCCTTGTCCGATAGCCTACTACTCCTCAGTGACGAATTAGAAAAAAACCAGGAAAATTCATTGATCAGAAAGTTAGATGCCAAGAATTCTATCGGATGAGTTTTTTTTGTAACCAAATCAGCATTTTGATAATAATATTAATCAAATAAAAAAGAATTCGGAAAAATTAATCAACAACGATTCGCTAATCTCTGCAATTCCTCTGACATCCTCGAAGTCCCTTTTGGGGATGTTACCCCTTCCCCCCCCCCTTTGTTGCATAAGAACCATTGTTTTATGAACTCACAAAGATTCCGATAATTGAACAAATGCAATTTGTCAACTGGATTGCTCATGTCAAATATTACTGCTAATATTAACTGATTAACGAACCTTGAAACCTTCTTCAAGAGCAAACTTCAACGCAGCACCTGTATTCGTTGCTCCAGATAAGTATTTGATTCTCTGTACAGCCCACTCAATCTGAAGCACTCTGTGTTCAGTAAAGCTCGCCGTCATTTACTCATTAAGTTAACATTCAATACGGATGAATTTTCAGTCCGGGTACTCGATCACCGCTTTTTAAACACATGTGCCAGAAAATTCCAGCGAATTAATCTACTTCTCAAACGAAACTTGAAATGCTCAAGCTTTGTAACTGCAACGATCTAAAACTCATTGATAGTATCCTAGATCGCTAATGCCTGATAAATTTACTGATTCACTTATTATTTTAGTGATGGATGATGACATTGAACACGTGGTTACGAATCGAGTGTAATCAATGGTATGCGATACGAACATATGGGTCAGTCTAGTTTTGGATTGTTTTGATCACTCTTTTATCATTCTCTGGAATTTTATCCAATCGATATAATGCATTCAATACGTTAATTCAAAATCAATTCATCTGTTTGATTGTGAATCAGTGTGTGATATTCTCTCAGAATTTTACCGTGATATATGAAATGATTATATGAATCGTAAAACAGTGCGATTGGCTGCTTTCTTAGGTTGAATTAATCTTTACTAGCTACTTTCACATGCATTATTGTAGATTGCGAGCACTGATTGAGAATATTCTTCAAAAATCAGACTGTTTAAATTGCAACAATGACAGGTAAAAATTTAAATTTGATCGGAAAATGGAAGTGGTCGATGATTTCGGTGCGGACACAGTGAGTTATGATGATTAAAGACAATCAATTTTAGTGATTGAAGATAAAGACAATCAAAAACTCAATGTCACTTCACTGAGCATCTTAACATTTCTCATAAGAGAATAATTATCCAACAAAAGGCAATTCCTTTTGTGATATTATCCAAAGGCAGTCAAAAGTGATTTATTTGGCACAATTAAAGACTTAACGTGTTATTTCATTATGGCTATTTATGTACCATTCACAGCTGCAATATTTTATGCTCATATCACGGAACGAGCATTTCGTCTTACGATGAAATTCATCAAACTTCTTGGCTCGGAAACTTTTATTGGTCAATTAACTTGATTGACGGATGTTTTCACGGATGTTTGGAAGGACTCACTTGTGGAGATAAATGAATCAACTAATGAACTTGACGACGCATATAATTGATATGAAATGAAGAGAACGAACGGTTGGTTCATAAATAAATGAATGCCATTAATAATCATATGCGATGATTTATAGTCAAAACAACTACAAATACCGGATTTGATTGCATTCATTACATTAGACTTGCGGTGAACCTTTCTTTGCCTTTTCAGAACTCTTTTCTTAACATTTTCTTTCACACTGGAAATGTCAGATGCTCAAATATGGAGACAACTTTCGAGAAAGGTGAATAGTGTTCTACGCATCTTTCATTTGATTAGCTGATTCCATTTGATACAAACTAGTTCATTTCATTTTTTAGTTAATTTGATAAGAATTTCATAGGTTTTGATCAAATGGTTACAGATACCATTAAAAATTTACCTGACTGGGTTGTGAATATTGGCTCAGCGACATTTCCAACTGAGGTGTTTCCGCATACTGAATAATTGCCATACGGCTCGTTTGTTGGGATATGTTGAGCCGCTGAGCAAGATGTGTTGCAAAGTTTAGCTGAAACACAACTTATCATCTACTCATCCAGCAATTTTTTGAAGCTCATCTATTGCCTTTTGGAATGCGTCCAACTAATTTCGAATTTGTTCCTGCTTTTGCGAAAGTATTTTTGATCATGATTTGTGGTAAATGGAAGAGGGAAAAGAAATACTGAATGAAAATCCCCCTGCACATACCTATTCCTCCCTTAATTTTGGTATGTGCCCAGTTTTGGTTTATATAGCCAGTCATGGAATAAGATCAGTAATAGGCGCCATCATCACCAAAAAATTTTCACAAATGTAAAATTTGCTCATAATTCCAGTCTCGCAAAACTGTAATAATGAAGTAGTAGTTCTAAAACTCAGAGATCCGTTCAGTAACCACTGAAATTAGCCATACTATATGCAGTTATATTAGTTCAGAATAAACTTTCCTCCGTTCTCCAGTCGTGTTGAAATTCTGCTGATGCGGAAAATAGATTTCAAATCGAGTGAATTACATCAGAAATATTACAACCGTAATATTCAAGCTACAATTCTGCTAAGCAACACGATAATTCTTTGCTACTAGCGAATGGAAGAGGTTCTCTACTAGCAAAAAAGTGTTTATGATGTTGATGGATTTTTTTACTTCTAGAGATACAGTGATTCATCTATCGGACGGCTGGAAATAGTTGACAGATTAGTCAAACCAGGCGACCTAGGTTTTCCTTCCTAAAGTCTCAGTTTTTGATTTCAAGGATACGTTCAATGGAGAGCAATCATTTTTGCTATGTTTTCACCTGGTATGCTAACCAAACCCCATCACCTTATCGACCCAATGTATGTCAAAAATTCAATGCAATTTCAATAGAAGTGATACTTCCATTAACCACTGTTGATGCAATTTACGCACTCTTAGAACACGTGTCCTTAGAACAACAAGACACTTCTACAAGCGGGATATTTACAAAGCGATTCTATCCAAAATTGCTTCCTCAACACGTTTTTCGCAAAAAAATAAACCAAAGCCATAAATCATGACGCTACTTTAATAACAAGTTATACGATTTTTTGCTTGTTAGACATTGGAAATGGGTCAATTTCAGATATCGCGAAACGGTTAGTGTCATGTTTAGTGTTTCTCAATGAAACGCCACTGGAACTGTCAATGATAGAAGCAATCGAGTGTTCTACTTAAACTAGTGATGGCATCCGACCGACGTTCGGCCAGAAAAGTCCAACAAATTTCGGTCGGAATTCTGATATTCAGATTCTGACCGAGCAATTTTGAAGTTTGCTCGGAATTATGAATGTCGGAATGCTGAAAAGTCGATTCGGTCGGATTTCGATCGAAGAATTCCGTAGCTCCTTCGGAATTTCAAATGTCAAAATCTCAAAACGTGAATTCGGTCGAATTTCGAGCAAACTAAAATTTCGTTCGGATGCCATCACAGACTCAGAACTGCTATGATTTGTAGACAATGACTGATATAGTTGCATACCGTTTCATTGACTAATCATATGTAAAAGAAATCAGACAGCTTTGGTGGAGGTCCGCATAGCGCATCAGTAAATGCAAATTAATCGTTCAGAGTTGATGAAATTTTGAACTAGTGAAAGAAGAAACTGAACGAAGGTATTAATTTCAGGTAATAATTGAACAAATGACACGAGTCTCATGTGATATCACGAAGCTGTTAGATTTCAATGCACCTTTTGAATGGCTATGAAAGCAATAGATGAGAAATGCAACCTGCAGTTGGAAGGTTTCATCTCCAATCGAACCAGATCCATCGAGTATCAGCACCAAGTCGACGCTTTTGTTTGTGACACATTCTGCAGCATTGTATCACGTGAGGCATAAATTTCGCTTCAGAAGAGGAAACCATATAAGAATTGTGCACTTTGCTACTTGACAGACCAAATGAAAAGCGTTGGTACTTTGTTATTCTCATGTAAGTTGGCGAGTGAGTTGCTGTTAGGCTGTTGGAGAGTGAAGTTTTGTAACTACCGAGTGAACAGAGCATATCGATGAGACTTCATGTATACAATTATCTTGGTCATTGATTTTCTGCTTACAAAGTATTTTAATGAAAGCAATTCAAAAGATTCAGTGAGATAAAAAATTTTATCAGCTGAATATTTCGCCACATCAAATGTCATGAAAATACCTTTTATCATTTCAGCATCAAGTAGGGAATTATCGATTGGGATGGCATTCGCGCAGACCAAACACTGAAATGTATTGTTAAATGATGATAGTTTTTTCTTGAAAATTCGACATGCCACTTATTAATACCAACAGGATCGAACAACGCTCCTTATAACATCGCATGCAAAAATCAATAAGTAGTAATGAATCTATTTAGTCATGGAGTATAATGCTGATTTAGTTTCAAGCAAATTTCTGGGTTATAACAACCATACTGAATAAGCAGTATTCGATAAAATTTCGACACTTCTCTTTACTTTCAGATGGAATTCTTTGGGTGCAAAGCAGACAAATTAGCACGGAAACGTCAGAGTGTGTTCATGATGATCGGAGCATTTTCTGTTCTTTTGATTCGTTGACCTATTTCATGAAATTTTATTGCAAACAGCATCAGTTTTCATCTCTATTCAAATATATCGATTCAAAAACTCACCATTATCATTATCAAAATGACCGCATTGTGTTCGTATAATATTTTAAGAAGCATCATTGCATTCTGAAATTACTTTTGTATTACATAAAACAAACCATATTCTCAATTCGCGTCTCATTGACACTCAATTTTTTATACGACTTGCAATTATTGATGCTCGTAATTGCAATAGAATCAATGATACTATCCTGTTTTTAAAATATTCTCTTTGGGAATAAGGTGAAGAGATATAAACAGAAAGCGATAAAAAATCAGCGATTCTGCTGACGAAAAAGTGATTCTGATTATGCGTTCTTTTTTCTTAACTATCATCTTCGTTGTCGGTTTTTAACAAAAACACGCCTATTCACATAAATGAGAAACACAATCAGTACTGAAATTCATTAATGCTTCCATAAAGCGAACATTTATAAGTTTCCATTTGTAAGGGCACTTAGAGTGTTTGCTGTATATCAAATATCATCCACCCTAAGGATAAGGAAGGGTCCTGAAGTTTCTGTTGCAAACTGCAAACCTTTTTTTGGATCAAAATCAGTTATAATAGTCAAGGTGTATGTAAATTGCATGTAATGTAACTCCACAAAAAAGTGCTCATCTAGAGCTTATTGAGAATAATCATCAAAAAATCTCACCATCATACCTGATAAGAGGAGTGGTTCGAAAATAATGGATGCAACCAATACAAACTGGGTAATTGGGGTACATTGGAAAAGCAAAAACTGTGTTGTTGGCAATTGAGAGGTGTTCATCTGAGTGAAGATGCGAATAAAATGCGAATATAATTCATGTAAAGAATAGTGACAAAAAATTGTTCAATTGCT